TTATGGTTAATTCTCTCTATGAGAATCCACAAACAGTCACTTTGTAGTTAAGGAAGGAAGTGAGAGTCACAAACCCCCCATGCTTACCCTCCTCCCTTTTTGTAGTATGACAGAATCCAGAATAGAGTAAGAATTGGTTTTTCATCAGAGTAGGTAGATAGAAATGAAATATAATTGGATTCTGACAGTAATGCACTATGGAATACTGAGGGCTATTTTAGCCACTGCACTGAAATAATTTAAACCAACATTAAGAGGAGGGAAAATGCTGAGGAGTTTGAATTATGCTGACTTTGCCAATCTAGCCTTCTGCCTTAAGAGTTGCAACAGTTCCTATCCCATTCCATGCTAAGGACAGTGATTGGTAGAGGTTTCCCTGTCAGTTGGGAATGCTTGTGAGAAAAAGAAGGAAACAAAGCTAGGAAAGTTCACTAGACCTTCTCCTTAACGCGCTCAGTATATTATAAATAAGAACAGCATCTTGCCTGTAACAGGATAAGTATTGTCAATAGGGACAGCACATTTTATGCTGGTATAGTTTCCTACTATCTCAACAGTTATAAGACAGCATTTTAATTTGAAAGTGAGGAACAACTCTTTAGTGATGCAATCAATTGCATGTCCACATCAAAGTAAGTCTCAGTCATTTTCTGTATAACTTAATGCCAGGTAAATTTGAGTAGAGTCCATTATTTTTTTACATAAGATCACTTCAAATATTTCTACATGGGAAACATTTCTTTCTAATGAAGGGTTCTGGAACAAAGGGAAATTGTTTAATCTTGCTTTCTTGCTTTTTGTAATCAGCTTTTGCACCAGAGAAATCTCATGCAAGCATGGGAAACATGTACATGGATGGGATAGACTGAAGGAGGGAATAAGGGAGTGTACAGGAATGATTGATGTCCTTCTTACAATGTAATGGCTGTTTGATTTTCTTTGGCTAACAAAGTTTATAAAGCAATGCTACCAATTTTCTATTGCGTAGCACTTCTGGATGTAACTCTGCCAACGTTCCAGATTGTTGGCCACCCAGCTGCTTAATTTGATCAAATAAAGTGTTGCTTGATCAAGAAGTCTCCACTTGGTTATCTGATTAGATTGATATGGTATCTTAAGTTCAAGTAAGGGACTGGAAACTTACACTAAGAAATAAGAAAAATGTAAGATCATATAAATATAAGTAAAAAGTTGAGGTTCAGTGTTAATGCTTCCTTCTACTGCAACAGAGGAAGTCAGAAATCAATGCCTTTTCTTTTTCTCTTCTCTCCCTCACTTTTCCCTTTTTCTCTCACCCTTCGCTTCCAAAAGCCCCCCCCCTCACTCACTCACACTTTGCTCGCAAAAGCTCCTCACTTGCTCTCTCCTCACTGCTTCACTAAAAGCCTTCTCTCTCTTTCTCCGTGTTTTTTTTTCTCCCTCTCCTGCCAAAACCTGCTCCTTTTATAACTTCTCCTCTCTCCACCCTCCTCCTTCTTTTATCTTCCTGATGCGCTGGAAGCTCCAACCAGCATGGAGCCGCACACGCAGATCCTGGGGCTTCTGCTGAGCCCTGCAGCTCCAGCTGGTCTTCTCCAGGCCTGGGCAGCACCACTTTAGCTTATTCCCTCCCCCGCTACATTTGGCTAGCGGGTCACGTACCACCTGCCAGGTGCTAAAGTATCACCGATTGAAAAGCCCTGATCTAATGTACATATATAAGGATTAAATTACTTGGTGTTTTAGACATGATCATTATACTAGATTCTGAATTGCTCCTAACAAAATGCTGCAATTTTAATTTTAGAGCTAGAAGTAGGATAAATTCTTTATGCAGAGAAAAAAGGCTAAGTTAAAAGTTCATCTTATGAGTGTATATTTTTGTCATTTACAAAAATATTTGTATTTTACCTGTTTTTAGTACTTTCTGTTTTTTAAACTCTGTTCCTGCCATAGACTTAAAAAAAATTCAAATATCTACACTTTGTATATGCAGCAAGTCATGCTTCCTCCATGCTCATCCCCCTGGTAGTTGGATGATTTTATTGAATTGCATGTGGATTAGAATTACTCTCAATTTTGCTCATGCTCTTTAATCTAGATGTCTAGTTTTCCCTATAAATAGTCTAGATGAGAGTCAGTGTGGCTTTATGATTAGAAACTAGGAGAAGTAGAGGTGACATGATAACAGTCTTCCAGTACGTAAGGAACTGTCATAGAGAAGAAGGGGTCCACCTATTCTCCAAAGCACCTGAGGGCAGAACAAGAAGTAACAAATGGAAGATCATTGAAGAGAGATTCAATCTAGAATTAAAGAGAAATTTCCTGACAATGAGAACAGTGGAAGGCTGTGGGTTCTCCATCACTGAAGGTTTTAAGAAAAGATTGGACAACCGTTTGTCCAGAATGGTCTCCTATTTGAGCAGGAAGTTGGACTAAACCTCCAAAGTCACTTCCAATGACCCAAACTAAAAATGACCTGCGGAGCTCTCTGAGTGACTTTGAATTGGAGCTCTATAAAAGATTCATAGATAAATAAATAGGGAATTATAAATGTAGGTTTTAGAAAAGCAGGATATAACAGTGCTGACATTGTTAATAGTTTTTACTTTTTATAAGTTTACTGCAGTCCTATTGTGTATGCTCAAATGCATATCACACTATTTGTAAATTAATTTACTTCAAATGAATTTACTTCAAGAAAAAGCAGGTGATTGCAATTTCAGTATTTTTATGTATTTCAAGATTAAATGTGAACACGTTTATGTGAGGTGGGCAGCAAATAAATGTAATAATAAATAAAAAATAAAAACATGAAAAATTCATTTCAAACTTTCAGATATGCAAAGTCTCTTTTTCTAAACTCCAGTTCCTTCTAGTCACACCCAACAACTATATTTGATAGTGTGGAAGGATTCTGGCAGCCTTCAGCATGCTAAAGGAGGAGAGTTCGATCTTTAAAAACTGGTGTCTGCAATACTTGTAGTTTCTTAGTTACTGCAAGAAGTAAATGTTTTGTTTTCATGTGCTATTCCAACTCTTAAGAGGGAAACTAGCTACTAGCTTCAGCCTCCTTGCAGTCTCTTCTTCAGCTTTCTATTCTTTATCTCCTCAGCATGAAGTTGTTTGAACAGCAATAAGCTCTTTGGCAGATGTGTATTTTTCTTCCACTCTAGTTAGGCATGGAAAGGACAAGCAAGGTCATATAAATAGAGAGCTTATTTGGTGTTTCACAAGTGGGTGGGAACTACAGCTGGTAACAAAAATGTCTTATAGTAAAAGGCCTATGGATAAGAAAGTAAGAAAGACACAAAGGAAGGTAATGAGAGCTAGAACAGCACTGCAGTGAATACAAGCAATCTGTAGGGGTTTCAAGTTCACCGGGAAACTTAGAAACCTGACTGTGCTCTAATACAGAAGCAAGCTGTGTTTATTGTGGGGAAAACTGCACGCGCAGCAAACTGCCATGCTTTCCCCCCCAACAAACCTCATAACCTTTTGATACCCTTTGTCCCAAGGAAGCAGCCAAAAGGTCATCCCCTTTTGACTTAATACCTTACCTATCTAAATAAATAATATGCTTAAGTTCCCTCTTATCTCTTCCTGCCTTTCATCTCCCTGTATTTGTCTTTACCTGGTCTCTGAACAGGTAATATGTTACTAGAAAATAGTTGCTTATATGAAGGAATTTTCCAATAAAGAAACTTTATGTCAGCATCTAAAGGTTAAACTTATGAATGTAAAATGTCAGCATTTAATGTAAAAGCCTATGTATGTAAAAAGTATATAAGAAGCAATAAACTCAGAGTTTGTCAAGCTGTGTCCTGCAGCTTCAAACCTCTGCTCAAGAAATGCCTGAGTCTTTTTCTTAGCATCATTACAGTTTATTCCAGTGAAATACATCCAATTCCATTGGCTTGTGGATCTGGATGAATTTGCTAGGCCATCCAGCATATATTTAGACAACCTGGCACAACTCTCTATAATCCAGTTGTATGACAAAGTATAGTATGTAGCCATGGTTTATGATGTAGCATAATCCCACAACTGTAGTTATTGTTCAACAAATTATGATTAAGGCAAACCAGAGCTTAGTCTAATGTATGAATCTAAACAAAATATGAGCTCTTTATTTGTCACAGCATTAATCTGATCAGTTTCACCTTCCAAAAATAGTGCATATGAACTATCTGGAGGAGCAAAAAGTTCACCATTTAAATTCTTCCAAGAAACAGTAATTCAATAATTTTGACTGTGACTATGAATGCATTTGTGTCTTTCAACAATCTTTGGACTAAATTATATAATTGTTTCACTTGCATTATGTTAAGTACTTCGTTCGTGTGCGAATAATGAATACACATGGCGATGTTAAACAGCTCTTTATTCTTCCTCCAACAACACCCGAACGAACCAAAGGCACGCAGGCCTCTTTATGTGTCCAGAGTCCGGGACAATGGCAAACAAAGTAACAGAGCGCTTTTGCACCTTGAACATGCACACAAGGCCGGCACTGCTCAGTCTGGTCCCGGACAGCTTTTGGAATGCCTGGGACCAATGCAACGTCCCAAGCCTCCTTTTTCAGGCTCAGGATACAACACATTAAAAGACTTGGTATGTTTTTTTTTTTTATGGAGGGTGGGAGTGACTGGGAGGAGATTGTGCTGACATTGCAGCAGTCTTCTAAAACATGCAGTATTTTTTTCCATTCTGGTTAGTGTCTTTTGCAGTTTCTTCTGCCTGTTTATATAGATTTTGGGTGGATCTAGCTCATCTGGAAATCAGTCCCAAAAGTCATGGACCACAAACCGACACCAAACTGTGTTAAGTGATTATTTGTTTTTATCTTGGCTAATTTGCTTTTTTTAAAAAAAATATATGATCATTCCCCCAACACATGTTCTTGTGCCTTTTCCCCAAATAGTTGTGCAGCTAATTTTATCTTCAAGTTAATATAATTGTAAGCCGGGAATTTCTTTTATAACAACTTTCATTTCCCACAATAGCATATTTTCAGTAGTGTTTGCTATTCACCTTGCTATGTAGAGATGGGCATTCCTATTTCCTTCGGGATGAAGCCTAATGGGAAATCCACACTTCCTGATTTTTGCTTCAATTTGGAAAAGTTGGGAAAGTAAGGCTGGTGTCAAACAGAGAGGCAGCAAAAGAAAAAAATGCGCCGTTTTACGATCCGCCAGAAGTCCAGCACTTTCCTTAGACCTCTCGAGGAGAGTGGAGAAGAGCGGCGCGTCTCCACGTTTATTCTCCCCTCAGGCTCCCGGACCTGATCCCCAAGAGCCAACCAAGCGCGAAAGGCAAACTCGGGCTGGCTCTCCTCTCCTTCAAGAGGGTGCCCAGCCGCCACCTTGGCGATCTCTGGGCTGCTGCCATCACTGTGGCGCCCGAAGGCTGGGTGGAAAAGTCGTCAGGTGGGCCAGAGGCTCGGTCCCGCCCTCCCGCAGGCAGTGCGCCGCTGTTGGCGCCTACAATTCCTCCCGGCAAGCGGCGACCGATGGCTGAGCAGCGGCAGCCCGGTGTCCTCGAGAAGGCGATGGGCAAAGCGGAGATCGCTATGGTAGGCGCCGGGTCTTGGGAGAGGGCGAGGGGGGTGTTATTCGGTGCAACAGAAGCGCGAAGCGGCGCTCCCTTGAAGGGCTGCTGCGGGAGGAAAAGGCATTTCGATCCGTGCACCTCCTCCTCCCTTCAGGGCTGCGCGAGACTTTCCCGGTTGATCCGACCCGCTTTGGGTCAACTCTCAACAAGTCTCGGACCTCGCTGGGTCTTATTTTGCGACTGATCGCTCTCAGATTCCCAGAGGATGGTGCCTGTTTACCAGTTGTCCTGTTTTTCAGAGTTTCCCCAGCCTTGCCTAAGGCCAGCTCGGGGGGCGGCCCTCTTAGTTCTCGCCTTTGTGCCTTTTTAATTGGCCTGCAGAAGCTTGTATGGATCTTGTCTAAAGAAAGCTTCCTCAGCCGGCAGCCCGAAATTTAGCCACCTGAGGGACGACCTCCGTACTCTCTGGGGCTTCTTACTTTTGCACAAAGATTGCAGTGAACGAATTACTCCGTTAAGAGGCAGAACTGCTGGCTTAGCCCCTTCTATCTTCTTGCCCAAGAGAAAAAAACAGGACTGACAGAGGAAGGGAAGATTCTCCCCTAGACTCCATAAAAAGTATAGGAAGCATTTCCCCCCTCATTGCACAAACAATTAGTGCCCTGCCCTCCATACAGAATATTGCATAAACAATATATAGAATGATGTTAATATTAGTAATAATGTCACTACTGATGGAGACAACTTTTTATTCCTACAGCAGTAGCTGGTTGATAGGATGTATTGCAGGTTGGAAGTGCCCAAAATTTTTGACCTCCTGTAATGAATTAATTATAAATTAATTATAATTATGAATCATTATAAAAAATGATTAAAATCCATCATCACCATCACCTTAAACCTAGAAACCTGGCTTTGGGTCTCTTGCTTTAACCTTCTTGCAATTCACTTTGGACACACATATAGACTATCATCAACACTTTGTGAAATATTGAATGCAGGGAAAAGGGTAAAAGATAACCCTTCAATAATCAAAAAAGGAACATGTGCAGTAGGGAATATATAAAGAAAAAAGGGGAGAGAATTGGAATGTATATTAATATAACAAGAGAAAATATTTCAGAATTTATAAAAAGTGTTCTAATATTTGAGAGCAAGATCATACATCCTCCCCATATACACAGCACTGTTGCCTTTATGAAAACACTTAATGTCATTGGTGCAGCAATTATTTAAAGTTGGTAATAATAGATAATCTTGTATGTTACATTTTATATATGAAAATCTGAGACAAGGACATTGAGCAATATCTTAGCCTTGGGTACCTTTATTTCATAAGCTCGTGCCCTTTGTAGGGTGTTTCCAGCTCATATAGAAAATAGAGACATGTGGCTTTGAGGGGTGAGAAAAAAGACGCAACGCTTTCCTTCCTTTTGCGCCAGTGTTGAAGGATGCCAGCATATGCCCAAACATAGTCCTGCCTAGTGCATGGCACCGGGCAGTGCACAGATGATGGTAGTATGACATTCAGACCTCTTGCCAGACCGGTCCTGTGGCTTTCCTCTGTAGGGAAGGTCAAGGAAGGTCACTGGAGCAACAATAACCGGATCGAGAGGAGAGGCCAAGACAGCAGAATCTCTCTCCCTCCCAGGGCCACGGGTGTGCTTTTGTGCACTTTGGTGGTGGCTTCCCCTCTGAGGAGGGAATTGCCCTTGGATTTGTGCATCTGGCGCGAGGGAGGAGGGTGGAATGGCTGTGTGGAGATTTCATTCCAGGAGAAAGAAGGAGAGATTTCTTTGATACTCCTTTCATCAAAATGAAAGACCTATTGACCTGGAAAGAAACTAGTTAGTTTCTTAGCATGTTTAAACATTGACATAAAAGGCATATTTATTTATTTGTTTGTTTGTTACATTTCTATATTATATATTAAGCAGTTGGTGAAACTTAACTGACAAAGACTGCTGAAAACTTCAGAGTAGTGGAATGATGCATTTTGAAAGGAAGAACTCATTGACTTGCAAAGACCGGATCCTAAGAATCCATAACTATATACCCATTAAATACAGTATTTATATTCAGTTTCTCTGTAATTGCTCAGCAAGGTTAATGAAAAACTCAACAATAAAAGAAAGCTGGCCAAATTAAGCACATTTTTAATATAATTTTGCGGTTAATGGGAATAACTACCTCTTATGTATGTATTTAGCATAAAATAATGTAAGATAAGCTTCACCCAACTCCGTAATATTTACTGAAGGAAAGGTTTAATTTGAACATTGGACAAAGGATCTTAATCTTTCTGAAATTAATTAATTGGCTCTTAATTAAAAATCTAAACAGAGATCACATGTGTATCATATTTACAGTAAATTAGCCCTGATTTATTTCTACCCAGTTTCCTGTGTTTGGCAAGCACTCTAGAGGAGTATGTGTTGGCTAGCTTATGGCTTCTAATGTAGCTCTATCATTTATAGGCAAAACACTACCAATATACCTATCTCTCCATACCAAAGGGTCCTCTCTGTAGCTACATATTCAAGCACAGTTGTTTATATGACGAGGAACTCCAGGTTGCTTAATCCCACTGAGTTGATTTCCTGCTCTTTAAGATTTTAAGACTTTCATTATGACCTTTTGCAACTCATATTTGTCTTTTTTTCTGGTGGACCAGCACATCACCTGTCATTTTTAATTTCTAAGAATGCCTCTGGGGCTTACATAGGAATAGAAGCATTGCTGTAAACAAAGATGAGGCTGGAAGCGAATGCGTTCTTTATCTTATTCCCTACCTTTCACCAGACTCCCCTACAGCAGTGGGGAGAAGAGGCTGAAGATGAAGCCATCTATAGCATCACCCTTGAGCGAATGAAGGCAGAGCCTGCAGCCAGTGGAGCATCTTGCTTGGTAGGTTCTGTTATCATTCAAAGAAGAACAAGACCCTCTCCACTTTTATCACAAGGGAAAGAAATTGGTAGAGGTCAGGAGGAAAAAGTAATTCACCGAAAATGAGGCATTTTTCATGCAGTTAGTCTTAATTTAATTATTTTGAAAGGTTTTTCATTCCATTGAAGTGATGGACCTTATCCCTAGGTTTAATGTTAGCTGGAGGAAAGGGCACTCGGTGGCCAATGGTCCTGAAGGTTACATGATACTGACCCTATCTGATGTAACCTACAACTTAATAGCAGTTGCCAGAAAAGTGGTACTGCCTTGTTATTATACTTTGGATTTCCAAGGCCCCAATGATCCTGCACTCAGAGCAGAGAATGTTGGGTTAGATGGGCCTTTGAACTTATCATGGTGACTCCCTGAACCCAAGCATGTAGTTTTCTTGGCAGCAGTACACAAATGAGTTGTCTTTGTCTTTGTCTTCTTCTGTGCCAGTGGTCTCCTACTTAAGTATAAAGTCCCATTCTGCTTAACCCTTTCGGATCAGTCAAGGAGCGGTCATTTACTTCAGCAAGCTTCAAATACTATATGCTTTTGATTTACTTATATGCAAGAGCAGTGTTGCTGCAGGCTTTACTGTTTATCTCATGCCTACCCCTTTCCCAGAAGGAGCATCCAGAAACACCAGAATGTCCTTTTGTCCAGTACCGTACTTGCAAAAGGCGCACATTGCGGGCTGCCACCCTCCCCCAGCTGGTGAAATGGCTGCTGACAGCAAAAGAGGAAGGTGACCTTGGCTACACCTCCAGCTTCCTGGCTACCTATCAAGCCTTTGCTACTCTCATGCAGGTGTTGGAGCTGCTGCTGCCTCTGGGACCAGATAAGTGAGCCACTGGCACAGGGTGGGTGGGGTAGAGGTGGAGAACACAGGAGGCTCCCAAATCAGATCTCCCAGGAAGGTTTGAATTAGGAACTTGGCAGAACAGAAATAGAGAGCGTTCTGATGCTGCTTCTGGCAGTTTCCCTGCAGATTGACTCTTTCACACTAGCGTAGCTCAGTGTAGCTTCATAAAAATCTAATTATTGACTCAAAGCATATGGCACAAAGAATACCAGAAAACAGCTGGCAGCAAAAGACAACACAACTGCAGGACAAATCAGTTCTAAATGTTCAGTTATAGAGTATAATCCACCAGGCAAGAATCCACTTTATTTGTTTATTTGTTTATTTTACATGTTTACCACCTATTTCACATAGAGGCGACTCTGGGTAGCTTACAAACATTATCCTTGATTCATCTTTATTTGTGAGATCTCAACTCCCAGAATTCTTAGCAATGGCCATGCTGAGTGGGGAATTTGGAGGGAATCCAGATTGAGGAAGGTGGTAGTATGTTTTGTGGACCCATACAAATAATTCCACCTAGTGGTCAATCTGAGAGTTTCAAATGATTTATTGTATCAAAAACTAGTCCTGAGCCACTAGTTCTAGCTGCTCTAAGTCTGAATTATGATGTTCAAGAGGGGAATAAGTGATAAAACCCCTGCCACTGCAAAAGGAAGATCTACAATATTTTTTTTAAAAAAAGAATGTTCTGCTTTTAACAATATGGCTGAGTAGAAAAGGGAAATATAATCCTATTTCCATGAGGAGGAAAAGAAGCAGGGGAAATGTCATTATTTTAAAAAATCTCCTTTCATGTCTTTGGAAAAAAGGGGAGGTTCTTATAAGAGGAGGGTATGCAAGAAAAAGATTGCAGAGAATCCTCGACTTACCAGCATTTGTTTAGCAAGCCTTTGAAATTACAGCACCATTGAAGAAGAGACTTAAAATCTATATTCACACTTACAATAGTTGCAGCATCCTCACGGCCCCAAGATCAAAATTTGGGTGCCTAGCAATTGGTATGTGATCACCATTTCTGACCTTCAGAGTCAGTTTTTGACAAGCAAAGTCAACTGGGGAAGTTGGGTTTGCTTAACAAGCACATGATTCACTTGACAATTGAAGTGATTTGCTTAACAATCATGACAAAAATGTTGTAAAATTGAGTTCAACTCACTTAACAACTGCCTTGCTTAGCAATGGAAATTCTGGTCCCATTTGTGAAAGTTGAGAACTAGGTACCAGATTAATGTGAACCTTGATATGGGAGAGGCAACTTTATTGAGTGAGGTGGTTAGAGTAAAGTAGGGACAGTGGAAGGCCAGGAGTGATTTATATGGAACAAGAGTAGCCCCATGGCTTGGGGTGAGTGTGGGTCAGGAGCTGATTGCATTTCTTTTCTGATTGCAGGGCAGTACTCCATGTATTGGAGCAGTGGCTGCAGCATCACCCTGAGGATTTCTGGGAACCTCCAGAGTATCCTAATCTGCACAAAATTTTGTTTTTCCTCCATCAATCTGCTCCTAACTCCCCAGTGTGTGCTTTGGCAAAGGGATTGCTACAAGCCCACAAAGAAAAGGAGGTAAATGGTAAGAATAATTTAGGACCAAAATTGCCAAGCATGGCCTATCTTCTCAGAGTTTCTAGTCTGGATCTATCCATTCTGACTTCTGCTCCCAACAATATGCTACTGGAGGTATTGTTCTCATGTGGGGGTGTCGTTCTCATATCCCATCCAGCTTGATCCAGCTCCCTGAAGCCCAAACCCAGTTCCTCACTGGCTATCTTGCAATTAACTTAAATTTAAGGATGAATGAACTGCACTGAAGTAGACAGGTGCTCTGGGTATGCTTGCCTGCCCACACACAAATCTATGTAAGCAATGGGTTGCTGTACTGCTTTTTTGGCAATAGCCCTTTTGTTTCTGACAGGTACTATCATCCAATGATACCAGTTTAGGAACAGAAGCAACAAAATCTGTGGTTCAAATAAATAAATACACGTGTTAGTATTACATATGCAACTTGTTATTTAAAATGGATCAAATTATAGCCTGTGCACTCAAATCAATATGGTTGCAAAGATTTTGCAAAAGTCTCTCAGCTCAAAGGAACAGAATATGAATGATGTCTGCCTTCTCACGTGTGTAATCCCAGGTGGGTACAGGCACCAGGTTAGTCTGAGCCAAAATCATCTATTTGCCCTTCTGTTTATCAACCCAGGACATCATGCAACTCACACTTATGCCTCTTTTGAAATTGCTATCATTTCTACAACAGCCTTTTCTAAACCGGTGCCTCCCAGGTGCTGAGGCTAAAATTCCCATTATCTCAGCCCATCATCCAGTGATGTGCTGCTAAGAATAAGAGCCTTAACTTGTAGTTCCCTGCTGATAGAAGAGCTGGTAAATTAACACCTCTGGAGGACACAGAATGAGGTAGTAAAAATTTTGGAGTACCTCTTTCTACTGCAGGTGAGAAGGGGTTTGGCCTATTTTTTTGAATGTTCCTTTTTTGTAAAAGGCTATATGTAGCAGACTAAAACATCAGGAAAAGGCTGTTACTATGTTGGCTGGGGCTACTGAGAACTATATTTCAACAGACCTTGGAGTTTCCCACATCTGTGATTAAGCATGGGGGCCTTAACAATAAAGTGTAGGCAGGCTTGCTATTTCCACAAAGGAAATTTCAAAATGCAACTCTTTTTCTTTACAGGAGCAAAAGGGCATTCACACCAGCTTAATTACAGATGATAGGAATTGTACTGGGCTGGTGAAGGCAGCTTTAGGCAATGAGATAAAAGTTCTTTAATTTTGAATCTAGCTAGTCCTCTTGGTTTATTTGGATATGCAATGGAAATAGTATCCTCTGTTCTGCTCTCTAAGACCATTCTAATCCCAGGATGAAGAAAATAGCAGGAACAGGAGCAATGTTGGCTGCCAAATCTCCATTGAACTTGTTAATTCCAGGATAATGGAATTGTAAACTCTGCAATTTGTCCCCTCTGGAATTTATAAACTTTCAATATGTATTTATTCAATTTATATGGCCACCCACTTGCCAAGTGGCTCTGGGTTGAAAATATCATATACAAGAGAAAATGTTAAAATAATAAAACAAAATCAAATACATTGTACTGAGAACTACACACATAATACCTATATAGCCATGGTCTGGGGAGTAGTCCAAATTTTCAAGGCTTTAAAGGCCAGCAGGGTTAACACCAGCCAAATTTTAGATGGATGCTCTTCCATGGAACAGGTGCAGTGACAGAGAAGACATGCCTTCTGGCTTCCATTAGGTGATACTGCTTACTTGATGGGACCTGATGCATGCCAACCCTGTCACATATTGTAGGTTGAACAGAAGATTCAACAATTATCCAGGCCCTGTGTCATGTAAGGTAACCCCCAGTACCTTAGAATTACACCTAGAAGCCCACTGATAACCAGTGTGGCTCATACCGTAGTTGTTATATCTGGACTTACCAAAATGCACCTGTAACTATCCTGATTCTTCTGGACCAGATGTAAATTCCCTGGACACAGAATCATAGGCTGAAAGAGACCTTGGAAGATTTCTAGTGCAAACCCCTACGCAAGGCAGAAGTCATTTCAAGACACTTCAGTGGCAATCTCTATAAAGTGTCTTGCATAGTCCAGATAAGAGGTAACTGTAAGTAGCACTCCCTGACGCTACTTACAGCAATTGGCACATAGTAAGTTATACAAAGGCCCTCGCAGACATTCTGTAGTTGTACCTGCTATTTTAACAGGAGGCAGGAATCTGCTGATTATCGGCTCATGCTGGATTATTCTTAGATTTTATGTAATTTATATACTCTTAGGAATGAAGAGCAGAGAAATGTGCTGCATTCTGTTCTGTTACAGAAAATAAAACTTGTCAGTACAGAACTCCCAGAAATCAGTCCAGGGGTACAAAGAGATTAAGCAGTCATTTCAGGCATTAAATTTACTAGAATAGTATACCGTATAGCAGGGGTGTCAAACTCAATTTCATTGAGGCCGCATCAGCATTGCGGTTGCTTTCGGGGGGGCGGGTAGGTATGGCCAGGGTGGGCACGGCCTACTGGGTGGGCGTGGCTGGAGTGGGTGTGGCCTACTGGGTGGGCATGGCCAGCTCTACATCGTTCGCTTCAAAGGTGCTGTGGGGGCCTGGGCAGGAGTGGGACAGATCTGAGGGTCTCTGGCAGAAGGGGATGGGACCAGAGCAAGTGCCAAAGCATGGTCCACTGGAAAAGCCTGCTGAAACCCCTCTCCTGGAGCCCATCAAGCCAGATATGTGAAGTAGGCGAGGGCCATTTGCTGGCCACTCCAGGCGATGGTGCATTTCTTCATTCCTCACAAAGGGTGACACCTCCCCAGCGTGCGCCCAGTGGGTGAGGCCAATGCAGCAGAGGCCGGTCCCTTGCTGTTTCCAGATGGCCTGGAAGCTAAGACTGAATGCATTTCAGCATAGATGGCCACCACAAAATTGTACATTGGCTCCCGGGCAGCCTGGGCTGGGCCCATGGCAGTGTGGACCATTCCATCACTGTTTCCAGGATGGCTTCGCGGGCCACATGAAACTACGTCGCGGGCCGCATCCAGCCCCCGGGCCTTGTGTTTGACATGTCTGCCATATAATGTCCCTAAAATTCTCAGTGTAGACAGATATAGATGTTACATTATATGGAAGTCATGTAAAAACCATACACAAGGGCATGCAATCTATCTCCAGTCTATTCTGAGAGGTTAAAGGATGGTAGATAGTATATTTGGCTGTTTGGATAGATTCTACATATTCCTTCTTGTGCCTGGTGAGTACCAGAACCTGGATACTCCTAAAGTTAATGCACTGCTATGAAGTCATGCAGATGAATTCAATTCCTAGTGGAGGTTTTGATCCCTATAGATAACATGAGGGATGTAGTGGTCTAGAGATGCCCTAGTCATCTCTCCATTGGATTTCTATAATGTGCTCTACATGGGGCAACTCTTGAAGGGTTTTCAGAGGCTACAAATGATACATAATGCAATGGTGCAGACAGTTCTGGAGGCCTCTAGGGTGGAAACACCATTGTTACACAAGCGGCATTAGTTGCTGATTTGCTTCTGAATCCAATTCAAGGTGTTAGTTATCACCTTTAAAGCTCTTCATGGCATGGGACCAGATTGTCTGAGGAACCATCTCACCACAATGGGATTGGCCCTCTCCAGTTGCTCCAGCAGAAGAGGCCTTTTGCAGACTCTGCTGGCTCAAAAACTTCAGCTAGTGGAGTCCAGGAGAAAAGCCTTCTCTGCTATGGCTCCTGCTCTCTGGAACAATTTGCCACCAGAGCTAAGATCAACCTCCACCCTTCTGACCTTCCGGAGGGCCCTTAAAACCTGGCTCTGCCAATTGGCTTGGGGTCCTGATGGGGGCACATTATGCTGGAGGTAGTTGGTTGAGTGAGAGATAAACCCCATTCCATCTGTGTTCTTGGTTTTTAGCCTTTACTTAGTTGTTGTTAATTTTAAGGCTTTTATATTTATGTTTGTATACAACTGTAAACTGCTTAGAGTTACTTTGGTTAATGTGACAAGAGGGCATATTAATTAATTAATTAATTAATTAATTAATTAATTAATGGTGCATGATCCAAAGAAACTTTAAAAGGCTGTTTATAGCATAATCCTGAAACAAGCCACAATTGGCACATCATCTCTCTGAAGTTCAGAAGTTCCTAAGGAAGCAAATATTAAAAGCTAGTATGATTGTTTTTGATGCTGGTATTTTGGTCTGGTACACTGGCTTCCTTACAGCCATTGCTTGAATCCTCTTTTTTCTATAGATCACATTATTTTCCTATAGGAGGCAATTCCCCAGGGATGGGACCATCACAGGTGATCACAGAGGCAGCTGGGACAGATGACTGTGAAGAGATATCAGCACTGATGTCCTTCTCTGTGGATGAAGTGGCCGAACAGCTGACACTGATGGATGCTGTAAGACCTGTTGGGGCCAGAAACTGAAAATAATTTGGAAAAGAAAACAGATTAGGGCTATGATGAACAGGGTAGTTCTGAAATCCTTTTGAAATTGGCTTGATGACAGAAAAGAGAACCAGCATCACTTTTTACAGTCCCTGTAGGCAAACCTTTTGATGGGCATGAGCTACATTTTATGTTGGAAAGAGTGGGTACTAAGGACCATAAAATGGATGGGATGTGGCTGCTGCAGGGGTGAATTTGGGATGGTTCTTTGCTTTGCAATATGTCTATTTGAGGCCTTGGATTTTGAAAACCTGCTCTGAAATCACTTAATGCACTAAATGGCCCTCAAATGGTGCTGAATTCCTTCTTTCCCCTTCCCTTTCTCCAGAACCTCTTTAGAGCAGTGCTACCCTTCCACTGCCTTGGCTGCATTTGGTCCCAACGAGACAAGAAGAAGAATCAGCACATGGCTCCCAGTGTCCGTGCTACTGTGATCCAGTTTAATGCAGTCACCAGCTGTGTTATCACATCTGTGCTGGGGGATCTGGCCATGCACATTCCCCAGCGTGCAAACCTGCTGGAGAAATGGATCCAAATTGCTGGAGTAAGTCAGGAAGAGGGTCAGAGTGGTGGCAATGGGAAAACAAAGCAGGGCTGAGCATGATGTTAGGGGTTGCATAGTTCATCTCTTGGGAAACTCTGAGCCAGAGAGATAGTGACTGCCCAGGTGCATTCCTCATTTGTGACAATATTTCTTGACAATGTTTAGCACTAATGCCTCTTGCAACCTTTTTCAATTGACATCTCTGAAAGGGGTTTCTTGTTATTTTTCTGCATGAGGTAAATTCTTCTCAGTTATTGTATGTGCTGAGACTGTACATTTCTGTTCCCCAAAGTAAAGGGATCCTGAATTTTCTGGATGAATAAAAAAAAAACTAGGATGGAATACTGCAAGCGGGAGAATTAAGCATGCTTGATGGACACAGAATGCAGATGGACAATTGCAGGGCAGGCAAGAGGAGCAAAAACATTGAGTGGGAAGCTACACTGGCCAATTGTTGGTGTGGCTGGAGAGAAAAGGGCAGAGGTTGAAAGAAGAAGGTACCCTGTGGCCCCAGCACTGGTCAGCTGATTGTCAAAATAAATGCCTCTTTTAAACTCCATAAAATCTGGTAGGGTTCCTTAGCTGCCTTTAGTTAGACACAACAAGCAACTTTATAGTACCGTAGGGGACTTTAGATCACTGTAGTGTTGAACTATCTTATATTATGTTCTGTAGGTATATATACAAGGAAAAGTCAGAGTAGGCATGGCAATAAACATGACACGAGTGGGATCTCTCTTGGACAGTCATTGGCAGAATCCAACTTTATCATATTTAGACAAATCTGATGTCAACCTGTTCCTAGGTCACAATAATTAATAGTTGTTTTAATTATGCTCATTCTAATTATGCTAATTATCATGCTGGTCCTTCTCAATCAGTGATTGAGTTATGAAGATAGGCACATCTGCATTCTGTCTCGGTTAATTTCTTGGAAGTGTAAGGACATGACTGCAGGATCCCTTGGTCATTTTTCTGCAGCAGTACAGTACCCACTACTACATCACTAGCATCTACCTGGATGACAAAGGGGGGTGGGTTTCAGGCCCGGATACTTTAGTATGAGTTCTGCTGCAAATAAGAGTTTTGAGCTTTTTGTACAGGCGCTTGGCATTCCATTGTCCACTTTGGGAGTTGGTTGGATTTAGGTCTCCCTTCCCCTTTGGTTTTCAATAGGTTAATGATGGGCAGTTTAATGTCAGGCCTGCCCCAACTTGGATCTTTAGGAAAGAAAGACTCTCAACTTCATTTGTTTGAAGTGATAGGTTCTTTTAAAGTTAAGTAGTTGCAGCAAAAGTAAAGCTACACTTTAGATGTTTTGGGAACTGCTTGAATGTTTGGTACCTCTCAATGTAGTTTCGCATTCCGTTCCCAGGCCATTCCGTGTCCATGGCGGCTGCTTTATTCCGGTTTGGCACTCTGGTTCTTGTCAATGTGTTTCCCTTTCCCATCATTTGTCTTCCCACTCCCATTCCAAACTTGATTACTCCAAATTCCTTTTCTCCCTCTTCCGTTTTATGGCAGGTTACCAGCAAAGAAAAGAAGCTGAAAATGGCAAATCTGACAGGCTTCACTATTCTGAGCACCAAAAGTGCAGATTCCTTAAATTAAAAAAACAACATTGGATGTGTTGAACACGAAAACTGCCATGTTTCCCTGAAAATGCCCCAAAATAATCCTTAGCTTGATTTTTTGTGCTGGGCCTTATATAAGCCCTACCCCGAAAATAAGCCCTACTTATTTGCTAAGACACAAGGTGAGGTGAAGCGGGGGGAGGGGGGAGGTGCCTCATGTGCCCCCCACCTGCTTACCATGCCACAGAGCTGCTGCTGCTGCTGCTGTCGACACAAGGTGCATCACATCACTGTTGCGCTGCTGCTGCAAGGTGCATCCTGCTGTTATTGCCACTGGCGCGAGGCAGGTCCTACTGATATTGCAAGGCTCATCCTGTTGCTACCACTGTGAGGTGCATCACACTGTCACAAGGTGCGTACTGTTTTTGTTGCTGCCACCGCGAAGCACATCCTGCTACCATTACCGCCATTGCAAGGTGTGTCCTGCTGCCATTGCTGCTGAGAGGCAGCCGCGAGGCATGTCCTGTTGCATTGCCGCTGCAAGGCACGTTGCCACCGCCATGAGGTGCATCCCGCTGTTGCCACGAGGTGCATGGCGGGATGCATGGGCCAGTGGTGGCAATGGTGGCAGGACATTCCTCGCGACAGCAGCAGCAACAATGGTGAGACATGCCTCACGGCAGTGGCACCAACAACAGGACACACCTCGGAGTGGCACCAACACCATCAGGGTGTGCCTCACGGTGGCAGCACCAATGATGGCAGGACACAGTTCGCAGCAGCAGGACGCGCCTTGTGGTGGCAGCAACAGAAGTAGGACGCCTTGCACTTGCAGCAGCAGCAGGAGCCCTGCAGCATGATAAGCGGGGTGTGGGGTACATGGGGCAGCTCCTGGAAAAACATAAAACATCACCCGAAAATAAGATTTAATGCCTCTTTTGGAGGCAAAACAAATATAAGACTGGGTCTTATTTTGAGGGAAGCACAGTATGAATGAATGTGTTGAACATGAAAACTATTTTAATAAATTGCTTTAAAACAGTGGTTCTCAACCTTTTTAATGCCGCGACCCCCAACCGGTCGTAAGTCAAGGACTACTCAACCAGTCATAAGTCGAGGACTACTCAACTGGTACAGCACCGTTTGCAGAATGGGACTTTTGGCGGGCTCAGCAGGGCAGAGACAGCCTGGACAATTCCTATTGGCTTTTGAAAGCCAATAGAATTAGACTCTATTCAAGAGAGTCTATTCTATTGGCTTTCAAAAGCCAATAGAATAAAAGGGAGTAGCACAGCTAAGGAAAAGGGGGAAAAATGGCGGACTGCGTTGTTTGGCGACCCCCGTGAAATGGTCGTTCAACCCCAAATGGGGTCCCGACCAACAGGTTGAGAACCACTGCTTTAAAATTAGGTAAATCAACATATTTAAATATCTAATAGTAATATTTAAAGAAATATTTCCATTTAAATTGAGGTGTACATTTTCAGAACTTATTTATTATCATTTATATGTTTATAGTTCACATTTCTTAACCACCCATCTCCCTCAGAGAGTTGCTCTGCATTCTTGGGTTGCATTCTTAGATTGTTAAAAAACTGAGATAACCTCCAATTTACACAACTGTAAATATTAAAATTAAATATTAAAAACACATATTTTCATTTTAAATTCAGTTTCTCTTTAATGTTAGATTAATTTGATTAAACCAATAAAAATTATGTTGTTGTTGTTAATTGCGAAGTCGTGTCCGACCCATCGCGACCCCATGGGCAATGTTCCTCCAGGTCTTCCTGTCCTCTACCATCTTCTGGAGTCCATTTAAGTTCACACCTATTGCTTCAGTGACTCCATCCAGCCATTTCATTCTCTGTCGTCCCCTTCTTCTATTGCCCTCAATCTTTCCCAGCATTAGGCCCTTCTCCAGTGAGTCCTTTCTTCTCATTAGGTGGCCAAAGTATTTGAGTTTCAACTTCAGGATCTGGCCTTCTAAAGAGCAGTCGGGATTGATCTCTTCTAGGACTGACTGGTTTGAACACCTTGCAGTCCAAGGGACTCGCAGGAGTCTTCTCCAGCACCATAGTTCAAAGGCCTCAATTCTTTGGCGCTCAGCCTTTCTTATGGTCCAACTTTCACAGCCATACATTGCAACTGGGAAAACCATGGCCTGGACTATATGCACTTTTGTTGGCAGGGTGATGTCTCTGCTTTTTAGAATGCTGTCTATATTTGCCATAGCTTTCCTCCCCAGGAGCAAGCGTCTTTTAATTTCTTGGCTGCAGTCCCCATCTGAGGTGATCTTTGAGCCCAGAAAAATAAAATCTGTCACTACCTCCATTTCTTCCCCATCTATTTGCCAGGAATTAAGAGGGCCGGATGCCATGATTTTGGTTTTCTTAATGTTGAGTTTCAAGCCAACTTTTGCACTCTCCTTCTTCACCCGCATCAAAAGGCTCTTTAGTTCCTCTTCACTTTCTGCCATTAGCGTGGTATCATCTGCATATCTTAGGTTGTTGATATTTTTCCCGGCAATCTTATTTCCAACTTTTGTTTCATCTAGCCCTGCCTTTCTCATGATGTGCTCTGCATATAAGTTAAATAGGCAGGGCGACAGTATAGTCTTGCCGGATTCCTTTTCCAATTTTGAACCAATCAGTGGTTCCGTGTCCAGTTCTCACTGTTGCTTCTTGACCCGCATATAGGTTTCTTAAGAGGCAAATAAGATGGTCTGGTATTCCCATCTCTTTAAGAACTTGCCACAATTTGTTGTGATCCACACAATCAAAGGCTTTAGCATAGTCAATGAAGCAGAAGTAGATGTTTTTCTGGAACTCCCTAGATTTCTCCATGATCCAGCGTATGTTGGCAATTTGATCTCTAGTTCCTCTGGGTAAATAAGGGTATAATAAAAATTATACCCTTATTTAACTGATTGTGCCTCTCTCCATCTTTGTCTCTTTCTTTTGCAATCTTTGTTCACACAGCTACAATCTTTCAATCCTTGCTGAACTATTTATCTTTTCCTTCCCAACACCAAACTTCCAGCGATGCCGGGCCTTAAGGAATTTCTCTTCACTATATGCCATCCTCTCTGCTCTCCAATCCAACTCTATTTACCGACTAAAGCGCACCTGGGCTGCAGTCAACAGGTAAGTGTAAGGTCTCGCCTCAGCTATTCCCCCAAGAAAGGTGAATTCTTGAAACAGGCAACATTTCAAAAGGCTCTTTTATTGGGAGACAGCGATTGCAGAGAAAGCAGGCAGGATCTAAAGTTCCCATGTGAAAACATTAGGTTAAAGCCCACTGTTCAAAACCACTCCCAACTGCCCAGTCCATGAAAAGCCAATCTGAAGGTGAGAATGTGTTGTGAGAACTCTGAGCTGAGAAGGTGATAAGTCATTCTCAAGCACCCTGATGAGGCAAACCAGATGGCCGGGGGCTCATTCCTCCTTCCCAATTCCCAGGAAGATACATCAAAGCAAAGGAGAAACAAATCAAAATGGGTACATTGTAGAAAAGCCCCAAGGCCCCCCCTTCCCACCAGAATGGTAGTGTCCCAATAGGGATCTATGGGGACCTGATAGTAAGTCTTTGTAAAGGAATGAGATAAGAGAGGGCAAAGGGGCTGGTCAAATATACCAAGCTGCCTTCCCTTTGGCAAAAGGCCACAACATGGCAGATCCCTGGGATCTGGAGAGCAGATTGACAAGAAAGAAAGCTCATTAGACAGACCCCATCTCAGGCAGTTCTGCATTTTATCCCACAGAGAAACCAGGAGCTCCTTTCGAAAGCTCTCACAGATCTTCTCTGAAGACCACAATCACTTGAACTGCCCAGAAATCTTGCTGCAGGTAGGGAGAATATCTCCTGAGAAGAAGGAAAAAGAATGTGATGCACAAGGGTGGTTTTTCAAATGGTTTTCCATCTCTCATGGAAGTAGTGAGGGAAAATACTGACATTTTTCACTGACTGATTCTGGATATAGTTTAAGATGGTCAATTGGTTCATTTTAATTTTATACCATTTGAACATCAGTTTGCCCTCTGGGGCTCTTCTGTAGGAAGGAGATACTCAGGGTCCTTGTGATGGAGGCCTGAGTATCTCCTTCAGGACTTCTCTGCAGGTGAGATTTCAACTGGAGCAAATGGTAATAACTTCTTGATTGGATCCAGCCAGATTTGCTTAATGCTTGCATTTGCCAGTATTCATAGAAACTTTTTGCAATTTTGCTTTCATATCATGGTCTTAGATTTACATAAATGCATCTCTTTTGCAATTCTTGGGTATGTTAGGTGGGTGGGTTCCCACAAGGATACAAGAGAGAATTACATCATCCTTTTTGCTTGCTTGGAATTGCTAGTGTTATGGCATATCCACCTAATGAATCCAGGGTTTTTGTTGCAGACTCCTACCATCCCATACCTTGGCACCTTTTTAACTGACCTGATCATGCTGGATACAGCACTGCCAGATTTTGTGGAGGTGAGCAACTTTGAAAGAGGACTGAAAGAGGGGGAAGGAGAATGTGGTGATCATCTGGTGAAAGGGCAAACAATTGCTCCCATGACACTTGACTGAGCATTTCAAATTAACTTATTTATTTAACCCCATCTGGTTTGAAATATTGAATGTATGTGAATGGCTTTATTTTTACCAAACATCATTAGGAGAAGGGATGCCTCTTACATTGAAGAATGATTAGCACATAATTTTGGACTGTTGCAATGTGATGTACCTGGGATCACTCTGGAGGCTGGCAAGGAATCTGCAGCTTGCACCAAATGCCACAATTACTCAAGAAGGAAACCTACCTTCCATAAACAATCAACACTGTTCTGAAGACACTGTACCAAGATGGATGCCAGTCCATTACTGATTCAAAGTCAAGCAATCTGTTACGAAATACAAGGCCCCATTCAGTTTAGAAACTGAGTATCTGATGGAATACTGGTTCCATTATGGACTTGCCTACCAGTTCACCTCTATAGGACTGTGCTCATTGAGGATGTAGTATTTGCTCGCCATCCATGCTTGTATATGAGCTGGGAAGGAGAAAACTTGTCAGTAGTTGCCAAGGGACTGTTTTTGTCTTGTATCAGATGAAGTGTTGTCCAGTTTATCATGTGTCCCAATACCTTGTTTACTCTTTAAAATATCACCAGATTGTTTCTTACTTTTCTGGCTGACCGCAGTTGTCTAAATTCTTAGTCTGCTATTTGAATTCCTTTTTGCTTAAAAAAAAAAAAAATGGGGGATGATTGAGCCTGAAACTTTGCACACAAAATGTTAATGAGGGCTGGTTCAACTAGCTGCTGCTTAAGTTCTGTCTCCATGTGCTGCTCATTGTCTCTATTTTATTTTATTTTCCCAACTCCACAGGGCCAGCTCATTAACTTTGTGAAGAGGCGCAAGGTAAATCAAAGGTAGAAGAAGTGGAGGGATAAGGGTAGGAGCTAACATTTCCTAGTTTTGTGCTTAGCTCTGGGATGGGGAGGCATAATCCTGGCCACCAAGAGAACGGACGTGGGTGCAATCACAGCAACAGTGTGACTCTGTGATATGTACTCCTCCAGGAAGCAGCAATCCTCTTCTCTATCTGTCATCTGCAACAGTCCTGTCAGGGATACAACCTTTGCCTGAATCCATCCTTCCACTTGGCCTTCCACCGCCAGCAGCAGCTTTCTGAAGACCAGAGGTGGGAAGAGGGATTAAAGTTTTCTGCTGGGGATGGACAGAAAATTGTTTGGTGGGCGAAAACATTAGACACTCCTAATACTTGTACCACTCAGGTTGCACCTCTGGTTACAGATTTTTAAATGCACCAATAATTGCACATTTAAAGTGTGCTCAAAACAGCTTAGCACTTTTTATATCAGAAAAAATCAGTTTGCGGGGCCTTTATCAAAGACAATGCAGAGAGAAACAGCTTGATTCTGTGCTATGTGTGCCCTTTCCCTGCTGAAAAAAATTTATCTAAATTATTGTTTTCTTCAAGTGTACTATTACTGAATTGGTCCCTATTCAAGTGCAGTCTGTCTGTCTGTCTGTCTGTCTGTCTGTCTATCTATCTATCTATCTATCTATCTATCTATCTCTTATATGCTGTCCATCTTACTCTGCAAAGTGATGTACATTGCCAAGAAAAGCAGAAGGGAAAAGGTCAGACTATTTTATTTGGGGAAGAAGAGATATATTTATGCTATTAACACTTTACTAGTATTGTGAAATGGCATTAATGGTGATATCTCCATTAACAGGCAGCAATCCTATTTTGTTTTGTCAATGCAGTGTTCAGAAAATAATGAGGGGTGTTGAAATGATTCCTTTGTTACTAGTTTCACAGATTCATTATATTTGTGACATTCAGTCATTCCTCTCCTTCCCGGCTACCAAAGTAAGAGAGTGGTTGTCCACCACCAGTTAGATTTAGTTCTCCTGCTTTTCAAGACATAGATAATTGCACAATCGAGGCAAGAGAAAGGAGAAAAGGAGGCTGTTGGCCTCTTTTCCATATCTCTGTATTCCATATTGTTTTACTGTAACTTGAAACATGCCAAATATGGTGTGAAACCAGCTTAGAGAAGCCCAGGTAGAGTCTTGGAGACAGACTAATTCAATTGCTGCTGCAGTGAACTGATGGTAGAAGTTCCCCCTTGGAATGGTAACATGCTGAAAGGGGACAGAGCAGCAAAGACAGTAAAAGGCATCTTACCCAAATAAGAGGCTCTGTCCTAAATCAGGACAATACCCTTTGGCAATGACTCAGAATAGACTCAAAAGAGGCAAGATAGGGTTAGCAATGGGAGGTAAATATTACACTGGTATTTGCCAGCTAAAGGATGGGTGAATAGTACTGAGTAGGGATGAAGAACCCAGCGAGCGCATGGGGCAGGGCAGAGAATCAGAAAGATTTCTGAGAATTGATGAGTAAACAAGCAGTAAGGGAAATTATGGGGGCTAAGAGCTCAGGGCATAAACCCCAAAGTGCCATGTGTAGCCTCAGTCAATATTTGAGAAGATGTAGCTATAGAATCTGTCTTCACTGTTCTCCTCCAGCTACTGCATTTCTTGTATGATAGAACCACCAGCCGACTCCTGTCCCAGCTCGCCAAAGCTGCATCGTAGTCTGACCAAACGCTTCAGCTCGTAAGTCATCCCAGTAACTGATGAGAGGAGATGTTCTTGTTCCTTTCTATCCTCTGCCCTTTCACCTGCCCGATCCTTCCCTCCAGGCTCCAGACAAGCACCCCATCCACCCTGGGGGAGTTTTTTGTTGTTGTTGTTCCTACAGGCTGTTTTTATGCTGAGGGGAAGGGCAACCAAAACTGGGTTAATTTGAGTGTGGACAGATTAAACCATAGTGGAATTATAAATCAACAAATTAAACCGTTTACTTTGTGCTTTATTTGTGTGGTTTTCTGAAGCATCTGGCTGGCCATTATTAAAGAATAGGGTACTAGGCTATTCAGAGGGACAACAGGGCCACACCTAAGGCTGATCCTGTAAATATGGGGCCCAATGTCACCCTCTTCATATACCATACCATCAGATCCAGGCAACCTAGGCCTCTGGAGATTTGCAAGGAGTCTGGGTTTTCCAGGTCATACAATTCCTATTCAGAGTAAAATGATAACCCACTTTCCCTGGTATAATGTGAGAAGTCCTGGAACTCAGCTATCTGCAAGTTAAATTTTTCTAAGTATTAAGCACAATTTGGAAGAGGTGGTACTTCTAAATTAAATTAAATTTCCTAAGCAGGAATTTTCAGAAGAAATGGGCTGTTGCAGAAATATAATGACTATGCAGAATGATTGAAGTATTTTAAATGTATAACTGTACTAGCATTAGAAGTTTAGGTATTGTATTCATGAGAAGAGACGTTCAGAAGTTTACTAATTTTGATTAGACTCTTTGAATAAGGAGGCACTGTAAGTGGATTTACAAGCTGGTAAAGCTTTCCAAATGATCATTGGAATTATTTCTGGACCACATACTATAAAGGGGGATGCAGGGTTGGCCTGAGAGTTAGAAAAATGATACTAAGAGCAAATGATGAGACCAAGACCTAAACCCAGTGATGAATTACATGGCAAGGAATAACTTTGACCTGAGCAGCTTCTGAAGTACAACATCCACATTTTACTCCCAGATCTATACTAGCCACTCAAGCCCATATATGGTGCTGGGCTGCTTAGATACACATAGATGATTTGTGCTCCTGGGTTGAAATGGTGAGACCACAGTATTAGGGAGGGTTAAACAATGAGATGGATCTGAGGATATGCTGGGATCCATTTGCTTTTATTCTAATGTGGAGAGAGATGAGGAATAAGTGAAACTGCATCTTTCCCTTAACTCTCTGTCTGGACCCCTTTCTCTCCTTCTTTGCAGACTCCTCTTGGGCTCAGAACCATCTGCAGCTCCTTCCGGGTCTGAAAAGACTGGAACTATGCCACTGAGCTCCTCTAGTAGCCTTAACTCTGAAGATGGATCCAGTGTCCCTTGCTCCCCAACACGGGTATCCCCTGGAGTCAAGGTGACATGTTTATTTTTATTTCTATCCTATCTTTCAAGTCTTGGGATTCTTGCAAAACAGAAATGGACACTTAGGCAATTGGTGGAACACAATTACCATAACAATGCAAGTGCTACAGTTGGCTTTATAAGATCACCCTTTTTAATTTGCTATATTTTACCCTTTTGTTGATAACCATTTTGCGGGGTTTTATGAACAGCCCTTTGGGAAATTATCATCATACGTATTATCAAAAACAGGATTTAAAAACCTGGAGTTATCATATTGTTGCCACAGAACACAAGGAAATAAAATTTCAACAACAAACATAACCCCTGGTTTTAATGAATGAATTAAAATCAAGAAGCAGGGAAGTATTAATGAGGGAACCCAGCCCATTAATTTTTTTTCTTGGGAGAACATTCTGGATGCTGTTATCCCAAAGACTTCATTGTCTGAAACAAAATTACAAGGAATAGCAGAACATGGCATAGATCTGGGCGATAGATCCTGGACTACAGCAAACAAGATTAAATGAAGAAATTGGCCCAGAGAGTAATAGAAGGAAATGGATACTTGCTAATAAGTGCTGTATTTTCCATAAAGGAACATGAACACCAGTTGTTGAAGTTGATATTACAATAAAGAAACTACAGTATATGTTGTATCTCTATATTTTTACTTCTCTATTTGAAAACAATGATAATGTTCAGCCACTTCTATGGATTGGTAACCTTTTTCAAGCTGGTGGCTTCCAAAAGTGTGAAAATAAGTTACTATCACTCCCAAAGGGGTGTGTGTGTGTGTGTGTGTGTGTGTGTGTGTGTGTGTGTGTGTGTGTGGAGGGATGCTGATTCAGATTTAGAGATTGTATGTGTAGGCTCCAAGATTGGACGAAGCTGCCTTAGAATAAGGAGACTATTTTCTTTCTTTTCAGCAATATATATTTTTTTTTATTGAAAATTTTATAAATTTTTACAAAAAAACAAAATGACAATACAAAAACGAAAAACAACATATACAGAAAAACTAAACATGACATAACAAAACTCCCCTTCCCCGACCCCCCCCAAAACACCCACCCCCTTCCCCCCCGAGCTTCCCAGAGCAGAATATAGGCTTAATTAAAAAAAATAAAAAAAAATTATATATAAAAAAGAAAATATAACACTAAGATATATGTATATATATATAAAAATAAAAGTTATGAAAAAGCTATGTGATATTTTTTTATATCCAATTTAAATTGTATAAATTTTATCCATTTATCCCAAACAGCAAGAAATTTCTCTTGCGTTTGTTCCTTTAAAAAAGCCGAAATCTTTGCCATTTCCGCCAAATAAGACACTTTAAGGAACCATTCCTGCATTGTAGGCAAAGATTCCTTCTTCCAGTATTGTCCTACTAACAGCCTTGCGGCTGTAATCAAATTTAACATCAATATAACCTCCTTTGTATCACAATCAGTGACTATGCCTAGCAAAAATAATTGTGGAGTAAATTTTACCCTCCTTCTAAAAATTCTCTGAATATTCCACCATATCTTAATCCAGAAGGCTTTTATCTCTCTGCACGACCACCAAATGTGATAATAGGTAGCATCCAAACAACCACATCTCCAACATTTAGGCTGTAAGTCAGGGTACATGAAAGACATTTTTTGTGGATCAAAGTGCCATCTATAAAACATTTTATAAAAATTCTCCCTTAAATTCTGTGCTTGTGTAAATTTGACATTTCTCACCCAAATAGTTTCCCAGGTATCCAATGGAACTGGTTCACTAAAGTTCTGCGCCCATCTAATCATACAATCTTTAATTAATTCCGTTTCTGAGTCCAATTCAACTAGAACCCCATAAATTCTCTTAATATGAGTTTGTCTTTGATCCTTCACTTGCTTAATAAAATTTTCATCTTCTCTAAGAAAACCCACCTTACAATCCACCTTCCATCTGTCTACTAATTGCCTGTATTGAAACCAAGAATAAATAATATTTTCTTGTGCTAACTCTTCCCGTGATTTTAACTGCCAATTTTGTCCATCCCATCTGAGTAGCTGTCTGTAAGACACCATGTCCATTTTAACACCTCTTTTTATTCCTTCTATCACATGCCAAGGTATAGCCCATAATGGTACTTTAAAATCACCTTTATAATATTTTCTCCAAATCCTAAGTAAGGAAATTCTTATAATATGAGATTTGAAAGCCCAATCCACTTTTTTATTAAATATTAAATAGGCATGCCACCCAAAAAGTAAATCCCATCCCTCTAGATGGAGTATCTCAAGATTTGTCAAATTTACCCAGTCACTAATTAGTGTTAAAACCACCGCATCATAGTATAATTTCAAATTCGGTACCTTAAGTCCACCTCTCTCACGGAAGTCTTGCATGATTTTAAACTTAACCCTTGGCTTTTTCCCTGCCCAAATAAATTTATTGACGCCTTTCTGCCATTCACTTAAATTAATCTCATTCTTCAAAATCGGTAACATTTGGAACAAAAAAGAAACTTGGGTAGAATATTCATTTTTATCACTGCAATTCTTCCCATGAGAGATAATTGCAACTTCTCCCAATTCTTCAAGTCCTTCTGTACACTAGCCCACAACCTTTCATAGTTATTTTTAAATAATTTTGCATTAGAAACAGATAACATCACCCCCAAGTATTTTACCTTATTAACAATTTCAAAACCCGTCAAGTTAACCAGAGTCTGCTTCTCCTGAATAGTCATATTTTTAGGTAGAATTTTAGTCTTATTAACATTAATCTTAAAACCCGAAACCAAACCATAGTAATGGATCAACTGTAATAGCTTTACTACAGAATGGGTAGGTTGCGACAAAGTAACCACCAAGTCGTCCGCAAAAGCTCTTAACTTATATTCTTTTTTGTTAACTTCTATTCCTTTAATTTCCTGCGACTCTCGAATTTTGATCAACAGTATTTCCAGTGTTAGAACAAACAACAACGGTGATAATGGACATCCCTGCCTAGTACCTTTCTCTATTGTAAAAACCTCTGACAAACCTCCATTGACAATAAGTTGTGCCGTTTGTTTTTGATATATTACCGTAAGAGCTTGTAATATCTTTTCACCAAAATTCATCTCTTCAATTACTCTTAACATAAAATGCCAATTCAGTTGATCAAAAGCTTTTTCAGCATCTAAAAATATCAGCCCTGCGGGGACTTGGTTGTTCTTGTCTAAATATTCTAATAAATTAATGATTTGTCTAACATTGTTTTTCATGTACCTACCAGTTATAAACCCAGACTGATCTTTATGCACAAGATGATGCACAACCCTCAGCAATATTAAAACCTGGAATGTGTTCTAGAAAATTTGATGCAGATTGCACCAAATCCAGGATCAAGTCATTAACTATTACTTCATTTCTGGGATCAGTTGCAGATTATCTGCAGTGACACAGCCAAGTGATGTCAGTGGGGAAGACTCCCTCTTCCTTGATTCATTGGCTGATTTGTAGACGGGTTGGGATCTATTGCAGGCAGTAGGATTGCATTGGATACAGATTTATGGACTGAGAAAGACTTAATTTCAAGTCGTAGAAATCATAGAATCGTAGAGCTGAAAGGGACTTTGGAGGTACTCTAGTGTCCAAGGTAGGAGTCCTTATTCCATCCCAGACAAATGCATGTCCAATCTTTTCTTGAAAATCTCCAATGATAGAGTACCTATAACTCCAAGAGGCAATCTATTCTATTGACTAATTGTTCTGTCAGGAACTTTCTCTTTCATTCTAGGCTGGATCTCTCTTTGACATGCTTCCACCTGTTGCTTTTTGTCCTGCCCTCAGGAGCTTTGGAGAATAGGTTGACTCCCTCTTCTTTGTATCAGCCCTTCAAGTACTTGAAGAGATCTATCATATCTTCATTAAACCATATTTTCATTACGTTAAACATACCTAATTTTCTTAACCGTTTATCATAAAATTTAGCCTCCAGACCTCTTATTATCTTTGTTGCTCATCTCTGCATTCTTTCTAGGATCTCAGCATCTTTTCTGTATCATGGTGACCAGAACTGGGTGTAGTATTCCAATTGTGGCCTCACTAATGCAGTATAAAGCTGTACTGTCACTTGATGCTATGCCTCTGCTGATTCAGCACTGGATTGCATTGGCCCTTTTGGCACTGCAGCAAGCTGTTGGCTCTTACTTAAGTAGTGGTCCACCTAGATCCTTTTCACAGGCACTACTGTTGAACCAGGTACTGGCTATTTTCTGCTGGCACATTTGGATTTTCCTGCCTAAGTGCAGGACCTTAGTCATGTGTTGAATACTTATTTCACAGTCTGCAGTTCCTCTTCCAAGAAAAAGACTAGCAATAAATCACCTGTTTGTTAGAATAGAACAATTAATTGTGAGAAGTTGCAACCTCCTTTGTGTCTGGTGAGGGATAGGGTGCCAAATTAGTGTGGCATCTTCAAGCAATGTACCCTCTAAACCAGGGAAGCAGATGCACAAGTCATGATGTCTTCTGAGTAGCTCCATTGGCTTGTCCTGGGCAAACCTGGACCAGGGTGGGGGAGGAGCAGCAGTTTTTGAAAAAAGTACATTTACATTTGTAAACTCCCAAAATTATAAAACAGACTGAGATGTTAAATAATCTTTATTAAACCAGAAATAGGATTGTACATAAAATATACATAACAAAACAATGTTAAAAAGTAAATTAAATAGGAAATCTCAATTTATATTATTTTTTAAATCAATGTCATCCCTGATTCATTATTTTTGCTATTAGCATAAACTATTGCCCCCTCCTTGGTTTTCTCCTTAGCTTCACTTCTTCTTTGCCTCTTCTCCATTACTTCTTTGGTTTGGAGCCTGGTAGAATGTTTTAATTTAGCATCTAGTTCAGTGATGGCAAACCTTTTAGAGACCAAATACCCAAACTGCAACCCAAACCCTCTTATTTATCACCGGGTGCCAGGTGGGTGTAGTCCACCAGGTGGGTGTGGCCAAGGTGGGCATGATTATCTCGATGTTGC